AATGAATCTTGAAATATCTCTGTGTTTTACTTACTTTTCTTTAATGCTGTTTGCCGTGTTTTTTTTACTCACGTTTTTTATTTGAATAGTCAGAGACTCTCCATCAGGTGAGGGGCATGCAGGATATCATTACGACCATGCAAGAAAGTAAAATCCGACGGGCAGGGTGAATTTGCCTACAACCGATAGGCATTGCGTATTAGTGAGTGATATGAGAAAGTAAACGACCACTTGAGCGACTCCGACAACTTTGGGCGTGTATATTGAGCAGGCGATGAGTAATAACTGGAGATATGTGCAGCCCAAGAGCTGCCTCCAGCGTATGTAAGAGTATCTCAGCAACATCTCCCAGCATGGGATACCCACACTTTTTTGAGTGTCCGATCGATCTTAGCGTTTTTGCTATTTCGAATTTTTACATGTAATTTTTCATGTGTTTTTTGCATAAATAATGCATTTTTATGAAATGTGCATAAGAGTATGACCAATTCAGAATGCTCAAAAACCCTCTCTCCTGGGAAAGATTGACCCTGGACATGTGCTTCATAGGTTATCTGTTTTTGAACTGCCGAGCTCCCGCGGCTTTTGTTGTTGCTCAGTTCTGTACACCTCCCGTCTGGAGAAAAATAGAAAGTACGGGAAGGGTCGTAGAGGCCCAATCTGGAACTAATTATTAAAAATAGTAATGTTCATGCTGAGATGGAAGACGTTTTGTAATAGAAACCGTGGAACCGTAAAAGACAGTGTAAGATTTGTCGGTCAAAAACTTCTTAAGAAGTCGTAGAAATCTGGAATGGTTAAACTAGCATAAGAGAATGACGGTATGGTGAACAGATCAAATTGAATGAAGGTGTAAAACAGTAGATTTGAACGGCCGGAGTAGAAAGTTGGGAACACAAGCCAAAAGATTTTCTACTGCCTAGTGGATGCCGAAAAAAGTCTAATTACTGGATGAGTGAAAGAAGTTGCAACGCTAAAATGAAGGCATGCTTTTCCTCAGAAGGCAAATTGAAGGTTTTTTTTTTTCGAAAATTCATGGCACAGCAATGTAACACAGTGCAAGAGTTTCATGCATCCAGAGATAACAGATGGAAAATGCGAATTTTTGAAAAATTCACTACCAGTCATTTGAGTGCCTTAAATAAAATTATGTGGCTGTGAGAGTTCCAAAACAGAGGAGAATGGAGAAATTGCAAGCTGTATCAATGACAAGAAACACTGCAATGAAACAATGACTAATCTCAGAATATCGTTAATTTCGGATGCGTTTTAAAAACACAGACTGCATCATAAAATGTCTTCATACACAGGACATTCAAGTGAAATTCTTCTATTCTTCTCTTTAATATAAACCAGGAATTCTGTGCAACAAGTTTTTACTGTTTGACTGGATGAATTCATTAAATAGCTACGAAAGATAGGAGATAGTGAACTTCTGTGGACGGATTCTTTTCGACTATTTATGAGACCAAACAACTGGTGCAATTATGCGTTTTTGTGCTAAACTTAAAGCAGGCAAATCTTTAAAAGTACTAATAGCCGTAGCATGAGCATTCATGTTGCCAGTGTTTTGGTCTTTTCTTGTATACAAAGGAGAGGAGTGATGGCGGATGGGACTACTCACGTCGAGTGACGGGAATTTGAATATGGTGGATAGGTTGCGGGTTTTGTTCGAAAGGAGAGAAATTGCACTGCCAGAGAAGCTAGAGCGTTTTCACAATGCCGGCCGGGCCGAGCCGAGTTTAATAAGAGCACCAGGATGTGTTTTCTGGACTTGTTTTGAAGTGGTGGGATTTGTGTTTCTTTTATTTTCCGAGTCCCTGAAGCGCTAACAGTTTCGTACACGAGTGCGGTAACGTTCCGGGTTTTTTGTTCCCATGAGATTTAGGACTGAGAACGCTTTCCTGCGAATAATTGCACCACAGTCACATAGTAAAATCTCTTGCTTGTTCTGCGTGCAATTTCTGAATATTGCTCTGCTCATCTCTATTTCTGCACGTAAGTCGCTGTACTGATGATTCCCGCTCCTACCCCACACGCATAATTCAATCAC